CGGGTCGGGAATCCGGGCTTTCGGGTACGGGTCACCATTTTTTGCTTTGGTTAAAATAAGGCACGGTTTTTCTCGGGTTGGGAATTTGCCACTTTGACTGTGAGACGACGACAATACCAAAGCCCTACTCTCTCTCTCTCTCTCTCTCTCTCTTTCTCTCTCCTCTCTCTCCCCTCCTCGAAATGCAGGAGAAAAAAATCCAAACTTCTGTAAGTACACATACACATATACATATATAGAGAGAGAAACTGTTTGGAGAGAGAGAGAGAAATAGACTGAAACTTTGCAGCAGCATAGCTTAGCTACCTAGCTACTTATATATATAAATATATAATATATCTACATATATATAATGGCGGGTGTTAATGGCGGGTTTGAGGATGACCCGGCCGGGTGCTACACGCAGCTTCTCTGTGGGGACGAAATAATTACGGGTCTTGAAACGGATAGTTGTTTCGGGTTCGGATCTTCTTCCATATTCTCGTCTGATAATCGTATTGTAAATACTCCGAAAATGCTGTGTTTTGGTGATTACGAGAATGTCAAGGAAACGGGTCGGGTACCCGGACCCGCATGCATGGTGGCGGATCCTACCTCACTTTCTTCAACCAAGATTATCAGCTCATTGCCCAACTCCACTGTCAGTATAATATATGATTTTTTATTTAATTTAAAAAAAAAATCCACCCGTGAATTTAATTTTTTTTTATTTGCAGAAGAAGAGAAACGGGTCGGGTATTCTCAATTCGGGCGGCCCGACTGGAAGTCGGAGGAACAGTAAGAAGTCAAAGCCGGAGAATTCTATCACCGGCGGCCATGCAAAGGTCAGATTATTTGTGATAAAAAAAAAAAAAAACCTTTAATCACACATTTTTTTCTTAATTAAAAAAAATTAAAATTGTATTGCACATTATTTATTTATTTATTTTAATTATTTGTCTTAGGTTGTTAAGAAAGAGAAACTTGGTGAAAGAATCGCAGCGTTGCAGCAGCTTGTTTCGCCTTTTGGCAAGGTCAATTTATTTTATTTTATTTATTTATTGATTGATTTATTTTAATTAGTAAATTACATAAAAAAATAAAATGGAAATTAATTACAAATAGTCTCTTAATTAATTGATTTACTATTTTGATTGATTATTAACTACAGACCGATACGGCATCGGTCCTTCACGAAGCATTGGGGTATATTCGATTTTTGCATGATCAAGTGCAGGTCTTGTGTTCTCCGTATTTGCAGCGTCCCGTAAGCGATTCTTATTTATTTATTTCCCGTAATTTTTTAGCATATAATTAACTAAATTGTTGTTTTAATTAGATCCGTGCTATTCGTTTCGTTGTATTCATTCAATACAAGTAACATATAAATTGGCATTTTATTTAGCATACATTTAACATTTTTTTATGCATTAAATTTTTTTTAGGGCGCCAAAATGCGACACTCGAAATAATAATAAATGTCTATCGATATAAAATTGTTAATTGTATGATACTTGTCCGTGGCTTATGAACCGTTGATTATGACAGGAAGATATCGAGAGTAATAAAT